GATTTGTAGGAGGCTTTTGTACCATGGTGGCGTTGGGATAATGCGCTCATTTAGTTTGATTGATATTCTTGCTAGGCGAGTACGTTGTGCTTGGCTAAGAGGAATTTATCATCTCTGGGTATTGTCTTGTTGATGTCGGTTTTGCAATATATGTTTGATTGACTTCGCTGGAAGGTGTGAGCCACATAATAGGCCATGAGAGGATAGTCGATCGACCCGTTCCTCCAATTGGTGAAGAGTATATGGAAATCTCACAACGAATTAGTGAGAAGATTGAGTATTGGACTTGTGAGAATTTCAAATTATCCATCTTCAAGGCCACATCAAAGTTGTATCCCATGATCTGTTGTGCACTTTCATCTTGTGGTATGTCCCATTGGTGCCAACTGTTGGGTTGCTTGTTTCTCAAGCTAGGGTTCCACATATCTTCTCACTCTTGAGTAATCATGGTAAATTGGTAGTCATGAGCTCCTTATAGGAAAGTTGCTTTAAGGATGAGTTGACTTAATAGCAGGATAGCTTGAACAGAGTGATTCAAGATCTCTGAGATTTCTTGTTTACTCATGATTTGGAGAGTAGGGAAACCCACTATGAGCATTTGAACTTCTTTCTTTGTTGGGTCACACCATTTGCCCCCGAGAAGATGTTACTTGCTTTCCACTCTTTGAAACAAAGCGTAACTTTTGCCAATCTTGATTTAAGACGAATGCAAACAATGTTTGAAAAATCTTGTTTGAAAATGTATAATGGGAACCTGATTTTTCGAAACCAAAGCCTCGATTGAGGGAAGTGTGTGCAATTTTGAGAAAAATAATTTATTAGGTGGTTATTGCCACATTGTTTAAAATTTGTTTTTTTTATAAGCCATGCCATGAGAATATTTATAAGCCCTCACTTTCATTCACTCTCACGCTCAATTTCACTCTCACTCATTCCTATGGGTGATTTGAGTTTACGATACTTCAGCTACTATCAAGATGCTGGTCACCGTGCTTGATGGGAAAAATGTGTTCAAGGTATCTTTGTTTGGTCCCGGTGTGAAAGTTCTCAAACTTCCCTGAATGGTGGCTCTTGCTTGGTATGACTCCTATTGTAAGAGTCCCCGTATTATGGAAATCATGCTTTCATCAAGTGAGGTGGGTAAAGGAAATCCCTGTGACATTTGGGTTTAGTCATATGAAGTTTTATATTGAGGGTTTTTCGGCTTGCCCCCTAGGTATGAGTCTGGTCGATAGATAATGGGGATCATATTTTTGTCGTGAAAAGTTCCTCTAGAGGGATATTTGTTTGCCCCAACGTATGAGACAGTTGATGGATAGGGGAGATCCTTGTTGAGGAAGTCTCATTTTCCTTGATAATGGTAGTTTATCTTAGGTATATTTATGGGTATATGTTGAATCATGTTGCCCCCATGTCTTGAACTTTTGCTTTTGAGGGGTAAGCTTGAGTAGTGAAGTAACTAAACTCGATTATGAAATCTTCTCATTTGTTGAGGTCTTTATTTGACCTTGAAAGGATGGAAAAAGAGGGTATTGGTATGATGCAGACTTCTACTTTTCATATGCTCTCGGACTGATGAAGGATGAAGACTTTTATGTGGCAGTCATAATTGTCGAGTCTTATTATCATGGGAGGGTTCTTCTTTGACTTTGAAAGTGTTGGATAATGGGGATCATCATAGGGATGTAATTTAAGCGTATGCCGACATTTTTGGCTTGGGGGCCCTTCCTTTTAAGGGTTTCTTGTGTTATTTCTTCGCACTTGGGAGACAAATGCCCTTTCAGCTTGGAAGGCTGATTAATTTGATGTATAGTCTCACTTGAGTGTATAGACCTTGCCAACTGACAGGATGAGCACTGCACACTCCTGAGGTAAACCCAAAATGATCCCTTAGGCCTATTAGCAGAGGTAGCCAGTAATTTTTCGTCGCGAGTCTGAATGGTTTTTACTTCAAATGCTCATGTAAGGGGCATATAATATGTAAGTCCCAAAAGCTTTTCTATTTTTTTATTATAATTTTCTTTTCCTTGCATTTTTTTTGCGGGACTTACTTGACTTTGTTATGCCCCATACATGGTGTTATTTTGACTCTTCCGAATCTGTGTACGAGCATCAAAATGTTAGAAACTTGTCAATATGTCGATCTTTGTGGGAGCTTCTTCTTGTTGGCTATGGTGAATAGGCCATTCCTTTTTTTTTTTTGAAGAATTCCTTTTTTGTATGTGGACTCTTCGTTTGAACGCTTTTTGCGCTTGAATATCCCACGATTCAGATTTTGGAATGTAGACATTTGGACAACGAGACTTCTTGTCTCCTTAAAACCTCAACTGATGATGTGAGTTTGTCAAATTGGATCATTCAACCTCCTCAATCTTCTGGCCGTTAGGGCTTTGTGAGAATTTGGCTATTATGATGTCGGCATATCGGTGGTTATGGACCATGATTTGGATAATCAACCTCCTTTCTAGTCGAGTCTTGCTTTGATGGAGAAGATCGGATCTGGTTGTGACAAGCTTTCTACGAGTAGCCTGATGTCGTATCCTCATTACACCCTTCGATTATTTAGCTCATATAATTTGTGGACACCAGTGGGGTGTTTACACTCTCAATACTAGTGGGGTGCTCAAAATCTCGACACTAGTAGGGTGTGCACTCTCTGAATATTTGTTGGTTACAAAAATTCTTGACACCGACAAAGTATTTATAATCACTTGACACCAGTGGGGTGCTTATATTGGCTTAATATGAAAATCTCATGGCTTAACTCAAAAACATGGAATGCATTTTAAGGTTCCCATTTTTAGAGAATAAAAGTCTATTTTAAATATTTGGAAGAGATTATCATCATTTGAAAAAAGAAGAATCATTAATGCAAGGTCCTAAATCAAGATTGGTAACAATTACACAATGTCCCAAACATATGGAAATACAAATAACTCTTTATTCCTTAGTATGAAGCAAATGCTGGTACATTTCTTCAATATGGTGAAGTTTCTCGCATTTATTTGATTATGCGGGGCTACATCATCTTCAAATCAAGCTCTATAGGCTTACTGAACTCCGTGATTGGGCATGGGTTATTGATGTTTGAACGAATAGCTTCTTCGAAATTTCTGATAGATTCCTTGTGATCATAGCAACTTTTCATTTCATTTGTTTTCCAGGTATCGTTGACTTCTTTTGCTGTCATCGAATTTCTTCTAGAATTAGCACAACCTTGGATCTGGTACAAAGGGGTTGACTTTATCCTCGTGGATGAACAATTTGAGAGAATTCTTGATTTACTATGGTTAAATTCCGCCATGTTGATAAATGAGATGAATATATGATAATCATGCGAAATGGTGTGAATATGCATATGCAAGATGTTTTCTGGCAGATGCATGAATACTTGTGAAATTCCATTGATAATTACACAATGGATAAATGGAGAAAGATAATCAAAGATTAGAAATTTTTTTGCGTATAATTGACCCACATAATTTATGAATAACTGATAAAGCATAATTTATCACGTTATAAGCAAACATACATCAAAAGTATAAGAAACATGACACCGATTAGATAAACCTAGGGTTGGTGGATGATTTAACTATGAGGTTTAAGGTAGGCTCTTGGATAAGTTTTGGACGGCTTTATAAGGTGACTATATGCTGGGTGAGAAGTTCCTAAGAATTGGCTCCCAAGTTGTATCCAACTATTACTCTTTCGAGTTAGCCAGATACCTCAAATCAACCTCGGATTTGAGTTCAACTTGGTTAGAAAGTTTCACGTTATTCCCCTACTATTGTAGAAGTCACGCTACTCCTTTCACTTTCTAAAGGGATAGCTCGGGTATAGAGCTTTTATGAATGAATGCAAATAATTAAATGCAAGATAAATTAAAAGCACAGACAATATATTGAACACCCATAAGCGAAGGAAAGAAAGATTTATCGATTTGTTACCGTAGCTCGACTCTTTATAGTCCCCAGCGGAGTCGCCACTGTCGCAACAGCCCCTCCGAGATCGGGGTACCTGTTGCGAACTGATCGGAGTCGCCATCGACCTTACTTGGGGTGGATCGAACACCCATTTCCGGTTTTGTTATTTAGGTTAAAACCAGAAATCTGGTCCGCGAGTTTTAGATTTTTCTGGGTTCGGGAGTACGGTTACGTGTGGGAAAGTGTATTCACACCCCACAGCGCCCCAAATGGGTACTACTTAAATCGATAAGTTTTTAAAGGTTGGGTGTTTATAATTTTTGCCTTATTTACGTATTTAATTATGTGATGATTTGATAATTTAGATATTTATCTTTACAATTCGATCATACGTTTATTAACGTAAATCTCGAACGTAAAGAAAGATTGTTTTTGTTAGTTGGACTCGAACCTATTGGTTGCCTACGTACCCGAGTATCCGGGATTAAAGTCCACGTAGTTCGATTAAAATGAGTGATTTGAAATGTTAACGCTTGCACGTTAAATTGTTGAGAAAATTTGTTGATTGGTATATTTTGAAGTGATCTTGACACGTTCTATTGACCGTGGGCAAGATGATAATTGAGTCGTTAAGAAAAGGATTTATGATTTTTTAATTTAGTGATTGAATGTTAGATGATATTTGAAAGATTTTTTTTGTCGAGAACGACTATCACGATCTATTGATCGAGATTTCGTATCAAGAGGATTTCTAGGGAAAAAACGAGTATGAGTAATAGAGGAGCCCGAACGAGACTGTCGATCAAAGTTTTCAATATTTTAAATATTTATAGGTAATCATAACTTGGTCAAACCAAAGATCTCAAGACAATTAGTTGATATTATTTTTACGTATTAAGTTTTATGGTAATTTTTGTTTCTGAAATAAGGCGGTGGCAGGCCGTAGTTGTTAAGAAATCTCGAGGGTAATTTGGTCAATTGACTAAAAGGATTATATAAGTGTCTCTAAAGAAGTTAAGAAAATCAGCCGCCTCTCTCAGCCTCTCTCTCTCCTGATCTCTCGATCTTCCTCTCTGAAAAACGGAGGAAGAATCAAACCCTCTGCTCCTTCCATCTTCTCCCCCTCTCATTCGATCTCTCTATCGCCATCTGCTTCTCCTCGCGCCTTCTACTCCATTTCTCGATCTGTCCTTCTCACCTCGTTTTTTTTGGGAACGACAAGGGGAAAGGAAGAAGCGAACGGCGGCAGCGGCGGCGGCGGTAGAGCCGATGATGGTTCGAACGACGGGGACAGGAAGATCGACGCCGATGATGGTACTGGCAACGGCGACGGCGGAGGAGGTAAGATTTGCTACTTGTTCGTTTTGCATGTCGGATTTAGGGGTTCGATTTGGTTGTTTAGGGTTGTTTGGAGACTCGATCTTTTCAGGTTCAGGATTCTGACTGTGTTTGGTTATTTTTGCGGTTTTTGTTCTCGCGAGGGAAGAAGAAAAGGGAAGCCTACTTGGTTCTTGACAGCGATGAGCTCAGCAGTGCTAGTATCGGGGAAAAGAGCCGAGGGAGAAGAAGAAGAGAAGTCGGCGAGCTCCGGTGAAACTGCCGACGACTGACACGATGGGTAGGTGAGTTAAATTTAGTTTTTGTATCGATTCTGGATTTTTTATACTGTCTGGGTTTTGATTGCTTTGATTTTGGGTATTTCTGATAAGCTTTTTGATTGTTTTTTTTTTTTTTTTTGGCTTTGGCCGAGGAGGAGAGCGGTGTTTAAAAGACTGCCGTCGGCAGTCCCAAATTAGGCCGGTGGTGAAGGTGGCAAGGACAAGGTGGATCTTAGTATAGGTTCCACATGAGGTGGATCTTGGTAAAATATCCTTCCCTCAAACTCCTTTTGGTGATTAGGGAAATTTTAATTTCGAAAATAGATTTTATGGTTGAGTTATATGGTTTTTTATGTTTGTTTAGAGTTTTCCTATTGAAACTGGATTTTGGTGTGGTATTATGGTGGATTTGATTTGGGGTACTCACGGTGATTGATTAAAAATGAGTTAAATATGATTAGATTGGGGTATGTTTCAATTTTTGAACCTAAAATTTTGGAGGGGTTGTAAACTAACAAACTGAGTCTGAAATGGTTTTGAGACTATCCTTTGAATTTAAAGTCTAGATTGTGAAAATATGCGGGTTTTGGTGCTGGATACATGTGTGGTTTTATGGCGTATGTTAGAGATATGGAAACTTGTGGGTTTAGTTAGATAAAAGTGAATATCAAAACTGATTTTGATTGCTTATGGTTTGGACGATAGCGTGGTGTATGTGTTTTTTAGTATACTAAATGAAGCAAAGCAAGTAACATGAGACAAAGAAAGTAAACAAATATAGTTTTACTCATGATATGCTTAAATGATAAGAACCAAAAGACATTTAAATTGAAATACTGAAGTAAATGACAAAGGCTAAAATAGATGTGAAAATAAATATGATGAACTTATAAAGAGAGCAACTAAATCTTTTTCGTTGATTTATTTTCCTATTATGATGGGATTAGCCATCTTGTAATTTTGCTTGAAGTCCATTAGAGCTTGATTTATTTTGGAGTTTACAGGTCAAAGTTGTAATTTGATTGAGGTTGATTGAGTTTTGGTTTGAAAAGAACTTAGTAAGATGATGAATGATAAAGATGATCGTTGGAATCTAGTTTGGTACCAACCGTTACACTTGTTGTTTGATGATGTTTCTGACCCTCCTTTACTGTCTCCTTCGTTTTTTTTTTTTTTTTTGCTGATATTGGCGGCAGGGGTAGGATGCTTGTGGCGAGGGATCTCTAAGTCCCTTTTGGTCCACTGTTTGTGTTCTGGTTTCGAGTAAGAGATGGAAAAAGAAAGAAAAGAAAAAGAGAGGAGGAGGAGAAGGAAGGACGGATGGAAGAAGGTCAGGGGGAAAAGAAGGAGAGTTGGTGGAATTTATGTTCTTTAGTTTGTTTTTTTTTTTGGCCTGTCTTTTCTGTCTGGAATTTTTGAGGAAGAAGGAGAAGGAGCAGAGCAGAAGGAAGCGGCTGTTAGAAGAAGGGTTCCCCCCTCCCCCTTTTCCAAGAGCTGAAGGGCTCTTTTTATAGTAAAAAAACTGCAGAAGTGGCACCATATAATTGGCTTTGAGGGTATGTAGGAGCCGCCCTCTAGTGATAAGTAGGTTGTAGATTGGGTTGGATCGAACCGGCTTGGTTCAGATGGTATGGGTCGAGTCGGTTCAGACTGGGTTCAACCGGTTTGATTGAATTAGAACAATTGACTTTGGGTATGACTTTCAGGGCTAAGTTGATTTGGGCTTGACTTTAGACTTGGATTTATTTTATCATTGAATCTTATTTGTAAATGAAAGTGTAATAGATATTTAGATTACTGGGTAACAATGTTGTATTTGTAGCTTTGTAATTTTATTTAGTAATGTGTTTGTAAATGGTAATTTATTTTAATAAGACCATTACTTATTTCCTTATCTTTAATTGTTCTCGAAGTTAAGTCCCAAATCCGCTAATCAATTTTTAGCAAATAGAGTTAGCTATCGCTAAATTTGTTTAATCGCCCAAATTTTAACAACTCAACCCATGTCCAAAACAAACTCTGATGTCTCGGCATCCTTAGTTTTACTAAATGTTAATCGTATAGAGAGATGTTTACGAGTGACTATTGTCAATTCAAAACAAACCGAATACTCAACTACTCTTAATTAATAGTTCGAATTAGTAAATTGCCCGGACAAAATGTGGTGTCTACACTTAGGTTTCTAAGAACCCACATGCACAATCCTTAGATTGCTAAGCACAAGCATGCACATCTCTTAGATTTCTAAGCACAAACATGAACAACCTAGCATGAAATATGTCGAGGAACGATGAAATACTAAGCTAAATGAATAAGAAATGAGGGGTAAAATGTGTACATTTGGGCCCGAATCACTCCCCCGAACTTAGACGTTTGCTTGTCCCCAAGCAAACCATTCACCACCTAGGTAATATTTCAACCTACAAAGATATCTAGGGGACATTTCAAAAGGCACAAGTCTGTGAATCTCAAATGACTATTTGGGCATTGACACTTGAACCGTCTCAAACAATTCCGGCATCCACCACAAATGACATTCAATTGCATAAAAAATGGGAAAATGAAAAGTTCTAATTCTATCCACAACCAATGCAAGTCTCAACCGGGCCACTAATCAATCACAACCGACCATTGACACGCCAAAACACAACACCAAACTGCGACCAAGTGTAATCGCAGTCCAGGAATGCAGTAACAGGCAAGTTCTATTATCAACCCGGGGTCTCCGTGATTGTCTATTATCTAGCCAACTAATTCGATTGATTGTTGTTTAAAGCAAAAGCAGTAAGAAAGCAGGAAATGGTTCGGTTTTCTAAAGCAGGAAAGAGTCACTCGGGAATGAGTCCCCCTAGCCCCTTAGTTAGGTTCAATTGTAATTCCCCTGGGTTGATTCACTGTTGATTAGACTGCGGAAGATCCGACAGTAGCTTGGAATCTCTTAAGCTGACCAAGCCCTCTCAGTCTAACTACCCGGCAGACGACTAGTCTTCACCGGGATAGAAAGCTGAAGCAATAAGCACAAAACTCCACTACTGGAATTGAATTCCAGTACAAAGCAGTAAACTGGCTAACTCTCGTATAACCAATCTCCTACTGTCGAATGAAGTGGCTCTAACAACCTAATCAGATTCTATCTATCTCAGGTTGCAGCAGAAATCGAGAAAAGCTGATCAGACTTCAATCAATTCAATAAACATGCATCATTCGATTAAAACCAAAAAGTATAATCATCCAAGTTATTACAATCAAATCCCTAACACAAGGAACTAGGGTTCTTCATACCCAAGTGAGAGAAGGGTTCTACTCCATAGAGAGAGAAAGGAAAACAGAAATCAGAGTAGTCATACTCATAAAGATGAGGAAAATCTGCTCTGGGATGTCAATCTTCACTCCTGGGGACGCAATCTGGGCTTCAATGATGAGAAATCCACTCCAAATAGCTCCTAGGGTTTGTTCTTCGCTCTTTCTCTCTCTAAAACTCTGTTTTTGCTCTCAAAACTCGAATGAATCTTCCTTGGCTCGAATTTGCCTCCAAAAACCCGACTCTGGGCAATTTACGGGCAGAATTACGGCCGAAAACGCACGTTTCAATTTACTCTGACAGAGGAAGATTTACGCCCGTAATTCCACAATTACCGCCAGTATGTTAGTAATTACGGTCGTAATTATATGGATGCTTGCCCGTAATTTTAGTGTCGAGGAGAATTCTTGGGAAAAGAGGCTCGACATTGGTTTTACGGGCATGCCCTGACCAATTACGGTCGTAATTTGGCAGGGGCTGCCCGTAATTTGTCCTGTGAATCGCCCTCTGACCTCCAAATGACCCGAAACTTGCGCCTAGGCACCTCTTTACTTGCTAGGACCTGAAATACGACAAAACAACACAACCTAGCGTAAAATAGGCCAAGGAACAATCAATTCGAGCCAAAATGGACAGGAAACCAGAATGAAAACACGTGCAAATACGATGCTATCAAATTCCCCCACACTTAACTGTTTGCTTGTCCCCAAGCAAACCAAGTCAGACACAAGATAAGCTCACATATTTCAATCAACCAACATTGGGGACAAGTCATAAAGGCACAGAACACGTGAATCGTACTGGTTTTCAAACATCAACACATGAACAATTCAAAAGCAACCTGGACAACCACCACAAAGGACATTCGAGTGCAGCAAAATCGAGCAATGGAAGAGTCTCCCTTCTGTTCACCAACCAACCCAGACTTGACTCAACCACTCACTCAAGACAGTCAACTCATGCATCCAACTCAAGACATCAGAATAGAGACCGAGCAATCTAGGTCCTCACCAGGGTACAAGCGTATAAAGAATATGAAAATGAATCACTCACTCTCGACCAGTGGGGTCAGGACAATTTAATGCGAAAAATGCGCATGCTATTTCTCTCAATCCCTAACATCTCTTCACCATGATGGCAGCCTCTAAATGCTAGAGTTCACATATGGGATGTCATCACTAACTAATCCGGAGGTCTTATACACAGGTTCAAATGACTGGCTAGGGTCTTGGACATGGGGAAAAAGCCTTTTAGGTGGTGGAAGTATTCATAGCACAAGGTTCCACATTTCCAAACCCACACAATCACAATCAAACAAACCAGTATTTCCTTTCTGCTATTCTGCAATACTCAATATCTCAAGAGCACAAGAGCGAATGAGGTATAAACATCAGCATTTCCAAGCTAGACTGCTAAGAAACACTACTTAATGGGCATTATTAAGATTTTTGGTAGTGGCTCTCTTTTGCTTTCAATTTTTCTTTGTTTTTCTTTTATTTTCTTTTCATTTCTTAAGAGAGCCACCACTTGTGCACATCTTTCAAACACCTGCCCAACTTTTAAGCACACTACCTCCAACACTCACATTCAATTTAGCAGAAACAGCAGAGAATCTGTAAAAACCACTCTGTGGAACCTTCTAAAAGATGCAAAAGGGTGATTTTTCATTATAGACCAAAAGAAAGGATAACACACGGCTCAA